GCATATATAACATATTTTAATCCTACAATAACAATTTTAATATTTGTGCGTTAATATTTCTGCGTGGTTTTAAACAATTATTGAGACATTACAAAGCAAAATGAAATGTGCAGTGGCAAAGTGTAATAGTGAAAACAAAAGGAAAGCGTGAGATATAAGTTTTTTTTCGTTTCGTACGGACGCAAACCTCGAAAAAGTAGAAGCAGTTCTGCCGGCGAGGAGATGCATTAAACACCAAATCGAGCTTTGTGCTCTGTGTGTGAGCTATGAGCTTCTACATGGAACTATGTGGGCCTTTCCTTAGTGAATTGTAGTAGGTATATTTCCATGGTGAATGTAGACAGTCGCTGGTTTAGTTTGCTGGCAATGGCATACATACAAAAGCAGTTTCTACAGTAAATAGATACATGAACTTCAATACCTACTTATTTTTGTTAGCACCTGATTCTTTTTAGTGCTGGTATGACGTAATGCACCAGTGGCATCTTACCGCGCTGTTACGTACCTAATACAAAACAGTGCCCAAATTATTATACATTTAAAAGTTCAGCTTAAATTATGGTTTACTTACATAGAATATTTGTTTCCAAAGAAGCCGCACTCTTGCATCCTCTCGGAAATGGCACAAAAGTCATCAAATAAAAGCTGTGGAGGCAACAGCTGTGGAGTTTATGGTGGTTGGCTACCGTCCACAAATATAAATATGCACTCTGCATGGCTTTTTACAATGGCGAGTCCAAAAATTCACTTTGATGTACACCTTCCTTCCTTTTGGTCTACATGAAATTGCAAACACTGTTAATACATCAATTTTTTCATGTGCTAAAAATCGTACTTAACTAAAGGGCTACATGTCCAAAATTATTGCTACGTGTTCCTAATTAATCAATCTTTGTATATTTATTGATTCCTGCGAAATTGGGCCATGTAATATTAAAATTAACACATTTTTCTGCATTGTTTACATATTTTTATATGCGTTTTGGCATTTCTCTCACGCAATTGCACCAAGATGAGGTCACGCAAAAATTACGCTCAAAAATCCTCTCTCATTGGCGCAATCTTGTATTCTATCATTCTTGAGTATAAACCATTTAAGTGATGATTAAAAATAAACTAACTTGATTTATAATCGAATGTGTTCCTTTTCGATCATAGTAAGTCATCCTTGTTTAGAGTGGGTATTCGGAAGTAGGTCGCGTCAATGCACCCAACTATTACCAAGTAAAAATGCGTTTTCAGTAAGTTGTACTTGACCAGTCGTGATCGCTTTAAATATTGCACTGTGCTTCCAGACATTCGCATCGTGACAACTTCCTGGATATCCAATGAATACGTCCAGGAATCGAAATTTAGTATCGCAAATGGCCTAATATAAATATTAATTAGCAAGATCAGTATAAACCATTTAAGTGATGATTAAAAATAAACTTACTTACATTATAACCGAATGTGTTCCTTTTCGATCATAGTAACTCATCCTTGTTTAGAGTGGGTATTCGGAAGTAGGTCCCGTCAATGCACCCAACTACAAAAGGGAAAGGATTATTTATTCTCTACTGAAAACTTTCCATTATCTCGCGCTGTAGTGGTATAGATGGTCAATTTATTTCGCCTTTCAAGCCACTACAAACGGTATCCACGATTGTACAAAATATTTTGTGAGCTGTACTCCTGGACATGCTGAACCGATCGCTGAGTTGCCAAAACGTTATATTTGTATTTACCAATTTCCACAAAGTGACATACAAACATTTATCCAATGGATATCCTAAACGTCCACGAAGTCGAGTAGTCAAAAA